CATTTTAGTATCAGATCACCTTCAGGGTTTGCAACATGTCTAGTGGCAAGCTAGACCCTAATTTCACAACATGCAACCCGCCAGTTCCTAGGAAATGGCAGGTACTAAGAAATGCTAGGATGAGGTGATTTAAACGATAACAACTTTATTGAATGACACACATGATAACAACTTTGTCAACAACACAAAGCTGGAGGAGTGGCCTATACCCCAGAGTGCTGTGCAGCCCTTCAGAAGGAAGGAACATATTCTCTGTTTGGAGAGATGGGCAGAGAACTGTCTGAAATTCAGCAACAGCAACTGCAGGGTCCTGCACCTGGGAAGGAACAATCCTGGGCACCAGGATAGACTGGGGATTGACCTGCTGGAAAGCAGCTCAGCAGAGAAGGACTTGGGGGTTCCAGTGGACAACAGGTTGTCCATGAGCCAGCAGTGTGCCCCCGTGGCCAAGAAGGCCAAGGTGGATTAGGAAGAAATAGGTGAAAATTAGGTACATTTGTTGTAAGCACATAGGCTGTAAGTTTCCTAAATTCCTGCCTGATTCTCTGATCTCCCTCATAATTTATGAATTATAAATAGCTGCAAACTGGTAATTATATTGTAGTTAAATATTTTTATACTCACTATTCGTTTTTTAGTAGTTTTCTAGAAAAATCATTAGGTCACAATTAAAAAGTGAGTGGTACCAGCAGTACTTTCAGATGCAACCATACTTGGTGACAAGATTGATGTCACTGTGTGGGTTGGATTGTGTGCTCCTCTGAGGCTTGGATTCTGTGAAAATGAAGTGTGCAGAAATTCAGGAGATAAAATTACTGAAATATGAAGAGAGGAAGAAATGTAGGTAAACTAGGGTAAAAAATATATGCAGGATAACAGATATAAGAGAAAGGACATGAAGGCATTAAAAGTAGTTTAAATGCTGAATGCTATTAAAGGTCAGTATTTCCTAAACCTGTACCAGTTCCAGTACCCCATAAAGAGTCTCTCACTGCTGTAATAAAGGAGACCATGTGTCTACACTCCTGCTTATTCCTGTTCCTCATCTCCTAGATATAAGTCCACAAGAACACTCTCACAAACAGAACAAAAGGAGCAGAAATTCTTGATTCTCAGCTCATCAGCATTCCCATCTCACACCTGTCTTCAGCACAATAAGGGGCTGCAATGTGCCCCAGTCATTTTTAGTTTGATTACAAGACTGAGAAGCAACAGAGAAGAAAACCAGGTGTGAAAAGAGAGGACTAGGGCAGTTTTACTCATTACTGCAGGTAGATTGAAAAGAAAGATAGTGTCCTTTCAGAAACAGAACCACATTTTTTTAAAGAATCTTCTTATAAAGCCTTACACATAATAAAAGTATTAGATTTGGTCTCTGCACCTACTGCCAAGCAGAGCCTTTCAAATTTCCCACAGAGTGGGGATTACACTTAATAAATTTGAGGACAAAGCCACATTTCTCAAATAAAGCATTTAACTGTTACAACTTTCCATTGCATTTAGACTTACGTAGAAAACTGACCATTTCACAGCATCACAAAGGCAAACTGGAGTAATTTGAAGATAATTGTTGGTATGCTGTACATTCATACTGGAGTACAGTATATGATATCAATAATATTTGTAGGGTCATACAAGAAACAAGTTAATGAAGCAATTGAAGAGGAAAAAAATAAGAGCTCTAGGCAGGCAGCATGACTAAATTCAGCATATGCCATGAGGAAACAACCAGAGCAGTGAACAAAAGTAGTGAGATGAAGAACAGCTATGCCAGCTCTACATCATTTGGATTAGCACATCATCCCTTAGGGCAGAGTTCCAGTTGTACAGGGGGATGCACAAAACTGGTTATTTTAGGCTGCAACTCCACAATAAATGAATAAGCTATTACTGTTGTATGTTTTTTTGTACTGTAGTTGGTAAAAACACATCCTGAACAATAGCATGAAAGCCCTTTCAGAAAGAAGAGCTGGAATCTTCATCAGCACAGTATCTACATTGTGTGACAAGAAAAAGGTTGATGTATGAACATCCTTTTCACAATCATCTGTAAAGCACGGCCTGATCATTACCGCAGCAGTATCAAAAGATGAGAAGATGCTGTACACTCAAGGCTCAAGAACAACTAGGATATATATTTGAGTAAAACCAAGACAACAGTGAGCAAGTTACTAACATATCCCAGTGAAGACAAAAGCAAGTCTTGCAGGCTGATTAGTCATGATGAATGCCTCTGGATATTGTCTGCATAAGTTAATTTTTCTGGAAGGTGCACTCAGTTATTCTGTAAATCCTCAAACAAAAGAAAACCAATGGTATGAGTCCTGGCACCAGGGAGAGAAAAACTTTACAATTTATGGAACTGCCTGACAGTTTCTAGGCAGAAAATAAGGAGTTTGGAGAATTTAAATGCTGTGGCAATTGCAGGTCAATGTCTTTCCCACCATTGCTGCCTGGTAACAAGGTATCTCAGACACAAATTGATGCCACTGATGTAACAATCATCCTGACAACAGTCTGACTCCAAAAGAAAAAGTTGCCCATCTTATTGAAGCACTGGATAAAAAGGTTTCAACTCGTCAAAAAGCCTAACCTTATGACAGGACTTTTTTCCCTAAGCACAACTCTGACCCAAACAAGCCCAAGCCTGCTTCTAATGTAAGCAGTTTGCTAGTTGCCAGAGTGGATAACCAAAACCAATGGTATACCAATATGAGACAGACCACTCCCTTTATGTGACATGGCTACAAACTTTGATATTGCTTGATAAAGTTTTTCTGATGAGCTTTTAACACTTTGAATGGATCTTGAATAGAACCGGAAAGAGTTCAGAAATCCTGCTTTTTTGCTGAAGCAGGGATACCGTCCTTGGGAAAAATGCAGATGCAAGTGATACAATTAAACTGGAGATAGGCAGATGATTTACAGGTTTATCAGACTAATAAAATAGCTCCCTTGTAATTATACATAACATTAAAACCTTGAGATAGTTACACATGCATTTTGCAAGGCAGAGTGGCAAATGTGACAGTGCCAAGTGCTGCGTAACAGGCTTTGCATAACAACTCGCTAAAACACCACTGCACAATTTTTAGTCCATTTTGCCACATAGCATGAGTTGTTCCAAACTGTTGTATCTTGCAAGCTGAATATGCAGCTCATGATCTCCTGGCTCTGGGAGCTGAACTAATCCCAAGTTGGATAGAGAGTCATGACTAGGGAACAATTTAGTTTTTCTCTGGGGTGAAGAATGGAAGGAAAAGGCATCTGTCGATTAATACATTGCAGTGCTGATCCACCCTTTAATTTGGGGAGTGGAGTCAAACAATATCTCTGCCTCTCTTCATATGGAAAATTGAATTTGTCTTTGGACTGTTACTGTAAATAAGGGATACTCCCTTCTGAAACAAAAGCTAGTAATGTTGGAGGAAAGACATTCCCTGATTTCCACAGACAGTGGGTGAGGCTCAAACTTTATACACTTTTGGAGTGAGCTAACTGAAAAATGAGGCAGGTTGTATTTGCCATTATTAAGCATTAGTATTTAGAGGCAATAAGAGTATCAGAGAGAGTCAATGTCACTAATATTTTTTACAAATGCAGAAATTCAGTCCCAGTATTAAAAATCATCAAAATGATGTACTTCTCAGTGAAAACCTTTTGAACAATAAGCAGGAACCCTTTTTACTTGATAAAATTTACATATACAGATCTAGCTTCTACTTGCTCATCTAATTGACATTTGCCTGCATTCCTTATTTGTTAGATCCGTTTTAACAAGTTAACCAGAAATAAAAGACTTTAGAATATCTTGGCTACTGCAGCTGAAAACAGCTTCTGAACTGAAGTAAATCTGTGTGTCTTCAGTGAAATGAATAGACCCCTTCTGTCTGAACTAGCTGAGAATCAACCCCTTTTGGGCTGTTTTCTGGAAATAATTTAATAGAAATCATTCACACAGTAAATACAATGTCATTGTCCTGGGCTGCTGATGCTGGAACAAGACTGACACACACTTTGAATTTAAAACTCTCTGTTCATTTTACTGTCTGCTTTTCTGGTAGACAGAATATGCTTTTTTTTCCCCCAGCAAAATCATGCTTTGCCAATTTCTCTCTGCTTTACCAATTTTCCCCTTACTTCTTTTTTTTTTTTTTTTTTGATTCGTTTGTGTGGGATGGGGTGATGTCCCTGAAGGAGAGTAGGTTTAGATATTAGGAAGAAATTCTGAAATTCTTTACTGTGAGGGTGGTGAGGCACTGGAATAGGTTGCCCAGAGAAGTTGTGGACGCCTCATTCGTGGAAGGTTTCAAGACCAGGTTGGATGGGGCTCTGAGCAGCTTGATCTAGTGGGAGGGGGGTTGCAACTAGATGATTTTCAAGGTCACTCCAACCCGAACCATTCTATGATTATCCTTCTCTTCTGCTCGGCTATCAAGCTAAGGCACAGCAGTCAGGCAGCGCGGGGAGAAACGGGACTCACCGGGGCGTGCAGAGGCGATCGAATACTTCGAATTTTCCCAAGGATCAAGGCACAGGGGCACGGGTTGTGCCTGTGATGGGAGATCCCTGCTAAAGCAAAGACCTTCAGCATCGCACCTACGGCAAAGCGCTGCTCTGTCCTCTCTCACGCGTTTCCCTCCAGGGAGAGGGAAAGGAACAAGTAAAGTTTTCGGTGCTTCTCTGCCTACTGAGCCTTGCCGATGCTATGGAAGCAGGACCATCGCCACGCCGCTCCATGAGGCAGCCACACCTGGCACACACTGCCAGCACGGACAAAGACATCCCGTATTTTACACGGGGAAAACATCAGTAGTTGTAGCAGAAGGAGATGAGAGGCGGTGCGGGTGCCCTGCCTGCCGGTCCCTCCGGCCCCCGCCGGCCACAGCCCCGGCGCGGCGTCTGCAGCACCAGGGATCTCCCGGGCTGCAGCCTCCGCCGAGATACAGGGTGAACCCGCTGTCCCACGGGGACCCATCCCGCCCCTGCTCGCTACTCACCGATATCCCCATCATCATCATCTTCCTCCTCCTCCTCCTCCAAATCCAGCAGTACATCCTGGCTCTTCACATTCATCTTCCCGAAGTTGCAGCCCCCCTCACCCTCTCCCCCGCCGCCGGGGAGGCGAGCCCGCCCCGAGCCCTGCCTGCCCCGGGGCGGAGCGGCAGCGGGGCCGGGGCGAAGGCAGGGGGCGGGCGAGGGGCGGCCACCGACACCTTCCCGGCAGGAGAGTCCGCCCCCGCCCCGCCGGGCACCGCTGGGCACCGCTGGGCACCGCTGGGCATCGCCCGGCGCTGCGCCCGCCCCAAACACTGCAGGGCGGGCAAGAGGAGCGCAGGGTCTTTTTGAAGCGCCGGGTCTTTTAAAAACGTCATGTACCCAAATATTGAAGAACTCACCATCGCTAAATATTGCTGAAAATGTGAAGCCCACATACGCAACCCCACCCCACCCCGAGCAGTAAGTATTGGCAGAGTTATTTGGAAAAAGAAACGGAAACTGGAGGGAGAATGGTCAAGAACTGAATAAAAAGCCCGTCTCTAGAGCTCCACTGATGTATTCAGCTTCTTGTGGACTGTTTCACAAGTAAGAGGTTGTCCTCATCTCCATCTTCGCCTCCAGACACAACCTACAAGAATTTTGCAATACTGGGAAAGCAGAATTGTCACTATGCAGGAATGCTGTGGAGGCAGAAGTACTCAGAAAAAGGGCTTTGAGTGCTCAGCAATATAGTCATTTACTCACATGTGTTGGTTCCAGGGAGGAACTAGGGGGTTCCTAAAACTGCAAGGTATCTAGAAGAGTGACCAGAGAGGAACTAGACTGAGGCAAGAAATGCAAATGGAAATAAGACTGGAAAAATGGATTAAAGAAATGGGGGAGCTATGGTTTGGGGTTTTTCGTCTGCATAAAGCAGTAAAAATCCTATAAGCAATCTATTCTCACTCTCTAGCCTATTGCTGATACTGAAATGACCCACAAGACCCAGGACGTTTAAGGTGTACAAACAAGAAACTGGACAAAAAGCCATTTGTCAGATAAGTTTGTCACTTGCTAATATAGTTGTCACTTGCTAATCTGTAGTCAGTCATCTGTGGGTTAGAGTCACAGCAGGGCCTGGCACTACAGTAAATCGAAGTGCAAGTACTTTCAAAAGTACTTGCAAAAAAATGAGTTGAGTACAAAGCAAAAAAATGAGTTGAGAAATTTAATTGGGAAATTCTGGAGCAGCTCTGCCTGGCAGAGACTGTTTCTCATTGATTGCTTAAAGACAGAAGTAGTCTGCAAGGGCATGAGTAAAACCATCAGAACAGAAGCTACTGCTCTTGCCCTTATTTATGCCAGCACTGGTATTAGTGTTATTTGCACCATCTTACACTGCACATTTTTCTCACTCAGATAAAGAAAATCTCACAGAGCTGAACAAGAGAAGGAGGGTCATGTGATGGGGAGATACCTACTAGGGGATAATGCTGCATAGCAAAATGTGTTTTCTTGTGTCCTAAGTTAGAAACCTGGTATGCTGCCCTGTGATGCAGCCAATCTGTCTCTGACCACCTAAGCATGTGCCTTACCACCATCATGACCGCTTGTCAGGTTTCACACTCAGTGAGGTCACGGGGAGAGAGTGAATTGTGCAGCTCCTAGCCAGGAGTGTTTACTTCAAGATGACTCATTTGCAGACACTTCATGGTTATTCGATGTGCCCAACACACAGTTGCAGTAAGACCTTTAGATACCTGTATTGTGTAATGTTCAATTGCCCTCCTCCCTTGCAGGTCCTCCCCAAAATGTGGTCCTGGCTGGTGAGATATTATTTCATAAATGTGGAAGGAGGGCAGGGATTGTTACAGACAAGGTACAGCTTGGCTTAGGACTGTGACGTGAGATTTGTGCTCTGCGATACTCACCAGAGACATAATTGTTACCTTGGTTACATACTTCCCATTTTCACATTTAATGAATGAAAATGTAATCAAATAAAGGTAAAGTGCAAAAAAAGGAAGCACCTTAAAACCAGGCTATAAACAAAATGTAATTTTTTTTTTGTTTTTTTAGCTTGATCCTACTAGAATTACAGGTAGAGGATCTACCACTTCAGTTCTGATCTTACTGTAAAATTTCTCCCAGCATTCAGGGAACCTAAAGATTTTGTGGGCTTGATTTAGCCTTCAATACCTGAATGTTCAATTTCTTAGATTACTTCAGAGTGGGCTTTCACAGTGACCTTAAAAACCAGTGGGAATACTCTGTCTAAAATTCCCATAAAACTATTGGAAATGAATAGCTATGTGTTTTTTAACTTTGTACCAGGTGCAAATATTTCCATGTGTACTGTTGGTAAAGCATCAAAGCTTCAGGAGCTGACTTTGTTTCTCCTGAAAAACAGATTAAGAAAAAAAAGAAGTAAATGAAGAGGAAAATGCAACAGCACCACCCTGCTGCCATCTCTTTGTCAGATGGATAACAGCAAAATATCCATTCAAGGAATTGCAGTTGTGTAGCCCCTACCCAAGTTTTTCAAAAGCTAACTTAAATGAAAAAGTTAGGGTAATCAACTAATCCCCAACCCTGCTCAAGCAGGGCTGTATTCAATTTTATGGAAGAAATGAAATTGTTTTAACATTCCTGGTAGTCAGAAACAGAGCCAGTCCATGGAGCCAGTGGAAAAAATTGCTTCCATGAGTAAGGGTTTCATAGCAACCATAACAATATAGATTAGGAAGAGAGTAAAAGAGATCTTTTAGCCCACTGGTGACAAAACCCTGGTGCAGGCACCAAGTCTTTAACTGATGTGGATCTGGGCTGACACCAAGGACTCTGAGTCACAGGGCCTTGGACAAAGAATCTGGCACTGAGCATCAGCCATTGGTCTGGCCGAGTCCCCAGCAGTAATGCAGATTTGAACATATCCAGACAATGATGACAAATATTTGCCCATCATGTACTTACCATTCTCTGGTGGGGAACCCATGAGGTCCCCAGGTAAGCTCTTGCTAGAGTTTTAATACAGAGCCAAAATAATTTTGCAGCATTTGAAGCTGTTTTCTTCTTGCCCTTCTCCCCGCATCCATGAGAACAGCTAGTGGTTGTTCTCTTAATAGCGACATATTACATGTGGAAAACCATCACCTTAATGCCTCTGAAGCTTTTTTCATCCAGACTACACAAACCCAGGTCTTTGATCCTTCCAGCACGTATCACTGTCTGTGCTTTTCTCTCTCTTAGCAAGATAGCATGAAAATCACAGTGTGAGGCCCTATGGAAGGCGATTTTGTTTTACAAAATCTCTTAAGTACATTGTCTTTACCCACTTACAGTCCTTTTCTCAATGATTGCGTTGGCTTAGACTCTCACATTCGCATACTTACAAAACCAACATGTAAGTGTTCAGGTGGTCTGTGTAGGGTCACTTGTGTACAACACAGGGGACAAGGGAGCGATGGAAGCTCCATCCTTGGAGATATTCAAAAGTCACCTGGACACAGTACTAGAGGTCATGCATTAGCAGGGGACATGGACAAGGTGACCACCAGAAGTCCATTCCAATCTCAACCATTCTGTGATTCTGTGAAGGGATGAGAGGTGTTAGGTTCTCATCATACCTGCTGAGCAATGCCAAACTAATTTCTGGACAGCTGTTTTATATCCAAGAACCAAAAATCACTATTATGTGATTCTTTTGCATCAGACTTCTGCTTATTTCAAACCTCCATAAATTTTAGACAAGTCTGGTCTGAGCTCCTTAAGGCCATAGTCTGTGTTACAGATGGGCTATAAAGCAAAGAGATGATGTTTGTGATGTGGTGTCACCTTCTTCCCATCTTCCTCTTGGGTAAAGTCTTCTGCTGAAAGGCAATCTGTGGTCAGATTTCACTGGAGTGAAGGCCTCCTGTGCTTAACACAGGAAACAGTTCTGTGCACAACAAATACTGTATTCCAGGTAAGAATTCATCTGCAATGAATAGTATTGCTGTACCATTTTGGATGTGGTTTTCCTTCTAACATGTCCCAGAGCAACAATATTTTTTTTTGCCACAGTTGTCAACTCATATTTCTATTGCACTATGCAATAAGTCTTAGATTAATTTTTGCAATGGAGATTCTTTGTCAGAAAGTTTTCCATTTTTTATTTCTGTAATTGAATTTCTTCTCCTAAGGGGATAATTTTTGCCCTTGTTTTTATTATATTTCCTCATTTGATCAGTTCTTTCTCATTTGTCAAGATAATTTTGAATACAATTGTTCTTTCTTGGTGCTTGCAAACTTAAGGAGGACAAAATTCATACAGCTTAAACCATAGGCTTGGCAGAATAAAGACCATGAACATCTAGAAAGCAGCCAGTTAGCAAATTTGGAGGACTGGTAGGTCGTGTACTTAAAAAAAGTCTTGGAGGGAAAGAGTTTTTGAAAGATACCGTATTATCAATTATTGAAGGATACCATATTAAGGCTACTATAGCAAATTATATCAGCAAAATTTGGGAAGAATAGCAGGAGACAAGTATCACTGTGTGATACTTTTAATAACTGCTGGATATTGTGCTTTCCTATCTGAAAGCAGGTGAATTTTACACCATTACTGAAAATATTTGAAACTCAGTAACAGAAAAGAGACCATTTGAAATGCAAAGCCCCTGCTCTAATAGAAGCATAAAATCAGAGGGAAGATAGAAACAAATAAAATGGTCACTCCCCAAAAGAAATTCCCTTAAGTACACCAAATTATTCAGAAACTTGCTGCATTAAAAGTCAATGAAAGAAAATGTAGGAAAATCTAATTCCAGTCCACTACACCATATATTTTTCCTGGTACTGTTAAGTTAGTGCTTGCAATCTGTTCAAGTCTAGAGAAAGATGATTGTGAAGAGTTTTGAGATCCTTTTGTTTCTACAAGCTCTTGTGTTTATTTCAGTATGGTTCACAGACAGGGAGAGCAGGGAAGCATTAAGGGAAATTTAAATTACCCACATTCTGTACAGCTCTAGTATTTTTTCTTTTACCTTGGTTATGTTTCAAATTGCATGTAATCCTCACAGATTTCTTAATTCTCACTCTTGCATTCAACCTCTAGTCTGAGATGACAACTCCAGTCTCTTTTGCCCTCTGTTGAAGTGAATTGGTAATAACAATTACCAAGAAAATGTGAG